CTTATTCGACAAGACAAATCTTTCATTAAGTATTTTCATACGGTCATGTTCAGTGTGCTTGTTCTCTAACAAGCACCCACATATATGTATTTGCGTCGCACGCTAATGTTGATGGAATGCAACATTCTTGTCCAACAAGCATACATACTATGTGCGAGTCTTTTATGGATTATTCAATATCCCATTTCGAAATATCCTTCGACTTGGAACTTTATTTAAAATCACAGCTTTCAAGGTATGTTCCATGATCACCATCTCTATGCGCAACCATACCTTATAACCATAAGTGATTTAGGGATTTTATCTTAAGTGCGATTATAGGATAAAAACTTACTCTTAAGATAAAGTAATGCCTTATTTACAATATAGTTCCAATAGATAGTATTTACAAGTAGAATACGTCCAATCCGATTGGAACGCCGGGTATCCTACTCTAACATAGGCCTCATTAACATTTAAGTCCAACAGAGCATGAGGAGTTACAGAGACATGTTGAGGAGCTCTTGTAGCGAGGCGGGGTGCATCGGAGTCTGAGTTCGTGCGCAGTACCCGCCCCGCTCATTTCGAAGAAGGACATCTCGTGGTGCATGTGCGTGGATAGTCGAGCGGTCCACAATATTAACGTTCGTTATCACTTTCCTATCCATGCTTAGATGACTTGTTGGATCAGTTGCGTGTCGCTACCATCTTCAAAAAGTTGGATCTTCGAAGCGGCTATCATCAGTTTCGTATTCAGTCGGGTGATGACTAAAAGACGGCCTTCATGATTCGGTACGGCCTATTCAAGTGGATGGTGATGCCTTTCGGGTTGTTGAATGAGCCCAGTACTTTTATGTCAGTCATGAACCAGGCGCTTCGTGACCTCATAGGTAAGTGTGTTGTCGTTTATTTCAATGATAATCTCATCCATAACTACACGTTGGAGAAGCACTTGCTGCATGTGCATTCTGCTCGTATTATCCTTCGAACTGAGTCCTGTTTTGCGACCCCGCGAAAGTGCTTCTTCTTGGTCGATTTGGTTGTCTTCTTGGGCTTTGTCATTTCGGCCAATGGGATTCGCATGGATGATAGCAAGGTGGCGGCGATACGTGACTGATCTAGTCCTACCCCATTCACGGGTGACGCGTAGTGTCCATGGTCTCGGTCCTTCTATCGATGTTTTATTTCACATTTCGTTCGATCACGGCGCCCATCACAGATTGCCTAACAGGCAAGACTTTTGTGTGGACACTCTGGGCTGCAAATGCTTTTTCTCTCATCAATAGCAAGTTGATGTTTGCCCCTCTCTTGGTTTTGCCCAATTTTTCACGGTCGTTCGTCGGTGGAGAA